GAAATGACAAAAGGAATAATAATTCTGTCTAAAATTTTCAAAACAACTCCAATGAAGTTTATTCATCTTGAAAGTTCTTGATGTTGAATCCACATATATGACAGTATCAGTAATTTTATATACTTAATCTTCATGACTTCATTTTCGAATAACTGATATATAGCTTTTCAAGCATTGAAAAATATGAAAACGAAATTTTCAGATCCATACTTTTCGAATTTATTTGTTTGAAACTCAACGAGTTGTGGTAACTTTGCAAGTTCTTGATGCACTGCAACAAGTTTTGTTAAAAGTGAATTTTGAACCTCAAACTATCTCTTATAGCCAGAAGGATTTTTTTTTAAAAACACTAATCCGTGTCAACTATTTGAACTATTCAAAACGTGATGGTTTCTGAAATATGGAGAATGTACGCAAATGTGGGTCCAGATGACCACTTTAAATTCAAAATGATTTCAGAAAAGCCAAGAACAGATAATACATATACATACATAATACATAAAACTAGCAGAACATAATCTGAGAAAACAGAAAATGGTCAAATCGTATCACGCCATAATTTTAAGCTAATATTAGACTCCCCTTCCCCTTCAATCGGTTTTTTTATGAATTCGTTGCTTGAACATTAGGATATGATAACCAAATTGAAATACATCATATTTTTGAAATTTTGAATTTGACAGAGAGAAGAGAAGACTAAAGTGAGACTGAAATTATGTCTCATCATTGAACTAGCAGAACCCACGATACCTCTGTCAAACGAATATTGAAAAATTCCAAAAAAGAAGAAAATGTGCCTGAAATTATACAGTATCGTTATAAGAGGTGTGCCTAAATGGAATTTATGAATTTCATTTAAAGATTGTGGATTGGAGTACTGCTTGGTGGAAAATTAATTTCAAGAATATTTTCAGTTTATGGAAAACAAGTCGGCCTTAAGGATGACGCGAAAATCATTTTCCTTTCAGGTAGTGTATACTTTTCGTTCGTGATTTGTCAAAATGTTACAGAGATGAGACCTCATATAAAATTTCAGGAACATTAAATTGTTGAAACCTAATATTTTTTGACGTATATATTCATTCAAAGTACTTTCCAGCATCATCTGCGAAAATATGTGAGTGAATACAAAGTATTATATCAACCTCAAAAAATGGCGGTTCAGTTGAAGTAACTAAACATTCCTGAATAACTTTTTTGAAAACATTTTGATGATTCTTGAAAAAAAATGGTACATTACCTGAAGAGAAGACAATTTTCGCTTCTACCGCCAAAGCCGACTTGTATATTCAAAAACTGCTTTTTCAAAATTAATTTTTCACGATTTTAATCTACCGCATATATTGTAACATCCCAGGAGTGATTGGTTCTGCTGATTTAATAGCACCTAATGTTTTTTTTTTGATAGTTGGATGATATGAATGTAATTTTTTTTTAAATCCTGAGTGACGATTTATAATTATTGTAGTGAAAACTGATTCTGTGAATCACAGTGAAAATGGAAATGGTAGAAAATATTAATGTTTCTGTTCAAAAAATCTGTTTTTCCTTCAACCGGCTGCCGCACCCCTACGAACGACAACCCTCAGAAGTCGAAACTTGTGCAACTAATAATATCAAATGGATGAATGAAATAAAATATTGAATTGAGAATTGTTTATCAACATTATAGAATACTTTCCAAATACCTGTGGGATTGATTTGAAAATGAATAATATATTTAGAATAATTTATCATTATTTTCATCCTAGTTATTGTTTGTTCAGAACAGAACAGTAATTGAGAATTTTAATTGAGAAGCTGAGAGTTTTATAACTTGCTGAAACGTGGCGTATGGAATTGTCTCACACAATGAGAGACATAATGAACAAGATGACCAGGCATTGTACATAACAGATTTATCAAAAGAAGTATTCGACCACCTAAGTCGCGTGGCCTCACACCATCAGATTGAATCTGCTTAAACGTATTCTTGTGAAACATTTTCATTCTTTTTTGCTTCTGAAGTGAGAAATTACAGGCGGACTTTGTTGAAACTTGATTGAAAATGGGATCTGCCACACTCGAATATGATATTTGGAAATTAATATCATAAGAAAAATCAAAGTGAAATATATTTTTTCGGCAATATCCCGATCAACATCATGATATTGCTTTTTTGCTGTAAGTTAGATGGGACTGGTATAAAATGATACTCCTGGAAATCACACAAATTTAATACTCAACCGTTCACAAATAATTTATGCCGTCAAATTCATTATTTTCTTTAATTATATTCTGTCAATTGTCCTTTCTACTTATTTAGACACAAGAAATAACAACCGTTTACTGAGAAAATAGTAAGAAAATGGCTCGGAAAAGTATTTATTTATGTCTCCACGAGTTAAAGTAGATCTTCATGCCCCAAGGTTGACTATCTTACAGACACAAGGACCTTTATTTGGGTATCTATCAATACCCGCGGGTTTACAAACGTTTGTATGCACTGTATGCCCGTATACATGTTGCATATAAATATAAAAAACCGATCAGTCAATAAGACTTTACCGTTTTCATTATGTAATGAAAGGCTCATAATCATTGTTTAGGGACTGCTAAAAATTTAACTATCAAAATACAGGAGAATATCTTTTGAAAAAAACTTTTGCCACACCAGAACAAAAATAGTATGTTTCGGTGTGCGTTTCGCTCACCAATGTAGCATCATCAGGAGATGACCAAGTCTTACAAATAGATGTGGTGAGAGAATAAATGTCTTTAGCATACGATCGTTAGAAGAAGGTGGTATTTGTTGTAGGAAGTTTTTGTTGCAGAAAGCGAGCTACTGATGAAAATCTATTTTTTTTTCATTTTCGAATGACCGATTCTATGAAAATTTATAGTTGTGCCAAACTTTGCATTCAGATTCGTTTCAGATTGTGGAAGATAACATACCCAATTAGGTCTCGAGTTGAATCGTAAATAGTCTACTCCTTCTTTATTCAGTATTTCAAATCAATAATTAGTATGAATCAGAGATATTAGGGATCATCAAAAATAAGAAATCTAGATTATCATGATTTGGTTTTATTGATAAAGTCTATGTTGAAATGTAACTAAAGCAAACTTTATCTAAATTTTCTTTCTTATGAATAATCTTTCAGATCTATTTAATGATATACATAATTAAAACATTTTACGATTTACATAAATAGGTTCTGAGGAAATAATATTTGAAACCTGAAATAAAAAAAGCACATTGTTTATTGTTTTGTTCAATTTATTGTATATTCTTCAATACGTATCTACTCATTTGTTATTATTTCCTGAATTTTCTGAATGGTTGAGTTTGATTCAAAGTATTGGCTCCGGTGCAGAGGAGTTCATACCAAAAAACTTTATGAGTCATTAAACTGGCCGATATACTTGATGAAAATTCATAAAAAAAATTTTGCTGAGTGATTTTCACTATGAAAGGTTTAGNCGATTTACATAAATAGGTTCTGAGGAAATAATATTTGAAACCTGAAATAAAAAAAGCACATTTTGCTGAGTGATTTTCAGGAATACGTTTGATACATTGTACAAAAGTTATTTTCCATGGAAGAAATCAGAGAATCTTGTATAGGTTTACAAAAGGAAAATTTTTATTTTCAACCTGTGAACCATTAGGGTTAGGTCATAATTATTCTCTCTAATTATTCAAATTAGTCAATCAAAGCACGGGTAGATAATTATATTCGTTATGTTAATTTTTATTCAACTAAATACTTTCATAATTAAGTTTGATAATGTACATGTGAATTTTTCGATAAATCTTTCAATTTGCACCTTTCGTTTGGAAGTTAAGATGGTTATAAAAAAACACAGACTTGATGTTTCACGACAAAATTACAATTCTGAATTGTACCCGTGCAAAGTGGTAGCGGATCATTAGTACAATATTAATTGTATTTTTCAATATAATTCCCAACACTGAACACGCATGAGGAAGCTGTTGCATAGTGAAATGTCTTGCTGAGAGTTGGAATTGGTTGATACGCACAATCCTTAGTGTGCAATTTTCCATTCTGGAGCAATCAGGAATCGAGCGTGTTCAAAGAGTTGAAGACTCTCAACAGCAAGGTATGGGGGCGACAGCTGATTAACGAAAAAACAGATTTTAAAACAGATTTTTTTAAACTTCATGAAATTTCATGGTGAAGTTATTGAAAAAAACTATGGAAAGATTTCCATATTCCAGTTTTCATAAACACAGGTTTTACAATATGTATTGGATACACCTGAAGAAGCTGTTGAGTGGAAAAACATGTGTTGCGCTTTTTAATTTGTTTATATGAAAATCCAGAACCAATATTTCTTTCAAAACATTTACGTAGATATATTTTTCCAATCATATCACTGGTTGAGATGACACACCAACGTTGTATCATTTCAAAAATTTTAGTTCAAAACAACTTTCAAATTTCGAATGATTATCGTCCGTTTTAATAAATGTCATTTTAGATTCTTTCGTATGCCTTTTGCATGTATTAAGAATTTTATCAAAAAACCTGTTGATTCTACTTCAAAATAGAATCTAATCAAACTTCAAAATTGAAGTACCTTTAGTGCTTATTTTTTTCTTTCCTCACTTCGAAAGAGATTCTAAATACTAGAGAAATTATCAAATAGCTTTTTTCATGAAGTTTTGTGCATTAATGTTAAACAGACACATTTATAGTAAATTATATATCAACCATGAAGATTCTATTACTTGTTTACTTTTAATTGACTAGAGGCTGTTAAAACTGCCGGCTAAGAATAACCAACTGTCAATTAGGAAAGTTCAAGAGGCAAGGTTAGTTGCAACTAAAAATAACACGCGCATCCATTATTTCGATAACACTCCGATGACCTTTATGAGATACGAGAATGCGTTCAGTTGCATTTGCATAGTAACAAAAAACTAAAAATATACTATTTAGAATTTTTTAGTAAATGAAAAAATATTATTCATTGATTGAAGAAAAGTGTCTTACTCAAGAGGGAAACAATTCAAGTCCTTGTCACATGTTCCTCAACATTTAGCAAAAATTTTCACAAAAACCACTTTCAAATCCAAATAATCGACGGGCACCCCGTTCACAATAGGTCGAAGAATCTACTGACCGTCGGTAAAGCTTTGAACGTGAAGTTAGACAACGAAACTACGATCGACGAAGAAACAAACGAACAAACGTCCTCTCGCAAGCACAGCCAGCACGATCTGAACCGAACAATCTGGAGGTTCTGAAGCAAAGCTCTCTCTTGAAAATTAAGTTGTGTAGGAAAGAACTGACAGCCAGCGAGTACCTGAAATCCATTCAGGGGCGTGGATGTGAAGATTTTGTGGGCAGGAAAGGTTTTTTCAAAGAAAGTCATTAAATTTACTTGCAGGGATTTTCATAAATTTTGAGTGGTACCTATAAAAATATTAAAATTCAGTAGTTGATATCATGATTGTCTCTCCTTCAGAATGTTTCGTTTTGTTCCTGCAATGAAATTTATCGACGAAGAAAAAGTAAGAGGAAGCTAGTTAACGCGTGTTCAGATAATTGGGATCTATGGGAACAGTAGATGATTTATACAGCTTTGAGTGATACAAGTAACATAAATAAAAAGTTATTCAGCATTACGAACAATCAATAAAAGTGTCCGATCTATGTTATACTGTGGACCGTTATTATTGTTTTATATAATTTTCATATTTTTATTTATGACATGTCTTATATCCTGTATATGATCGAAAAGACGAATAAAGTTATTATTATTATTATTATTATTGTAATGCCTAATAGACTATTATTCTCTAAAACCATTTTTGATTGTGTCCTGTTGGAAATGTTCTGAATTATTTTCTGATAGGAAGTACTTTGTCATTTTTAAGGCTGATAGATAAGAAATACCTTGAGAATTACACTAAAAACCCTGAACAGCTCTCAGTTTTATGTGAACGGTAATCCTCGGAAGACGAAAATGGTGTGAGTTGAGGATTAACAAGGTCCCATTTTTCAACGTGCCATTTCTAGTACTGCTTAATCTATAAGCGCCAATAACAAGAACTAACATCCGTCTTATCCCGCATCACATACAAAAAATACAATCCTCTAATGTAATACTGATATATTATTTCGATAGTACAATCATTTTAAATTATTTTGAATAACAATAACAATTTATTCCACTAAAATATACAATGGTTACACAACAAAAGAATTAGCTTGAATGAAAAATGTAAAAAATATATTTAGATATTTTCTAGATTTTTTCAAATTTCATTTTGCTGTCATTTTTCAAAGGATTTGGCAGATCATTATATATTCAAAACCCTCTGATTTTTGAATACCTTATTGAATAGTTATGTTGATCACTATTCATTTCAAGAATCATATTTGAATGTTTAAATTTTTTTCGCCAGATGAATGAAGGTACAAAGTTTAAATTTATGTAACATGTCCGAATATATTTTTTGGTTTGTATTATTTGATAGTTGGTTCCTTATGATTTAATCTGAAAATTAATTCAATAACTTTATTCTGCAGTATTTTCAGTGGTTTCAGTAGGTCACTTGATGCTGATCCCCAAAATTATATCAAATACTATAGTTTTGAATGAACTGAAGAGAATTAAATACATTTTGAATATTTTATTGATAATATATTTCTATTTTCGAGAAAAAGAAAACCTCATATAAGAGATATTCGTTGATTTTAAATTTTGATATGTTCTCACTTTACATCAATGTAAAGCCCTAAAAACTCGACAGATGGGAAATGGTTGATAGTTGTATTCTGTTTTGAATTTTTTGTGATATATATGAATGACTTTTTTAGCAGTTATTGAACTCCACCTTTTACTGTAACTTCCTATATGTAGTTAGAACTTGATGTTTTTATTTTTTTGTGTGGTTGTAGTAATAAAGACGATTATCATTATCATTATTATTATTATTTGTAAATTATTTCCTGAATACACGAACATAATTTTTATTTTGTTTTTCTTAAGCTATTATAAATGTTTGTTTGAAGGTGATATTATAAATGGATATTATGAATAGATTATTACAATATAATGTCAATGATTTTGACAAAATGACAAATGTTTTGAAGCTCCATAGAATATTAGATTCTTTGAATGATAACGTTTTATTACAAGATGATTCCGATAACCTGAATATAATTGGTGTGAAAAAATAACTTAGATTTGAATGACGATGAACGGCATGTCATCAGATTTTTCTTAGCTATCAATACAGTGAGGTATGATTCTTCTGTAAAAGACCTAGGCGTTATTTTCATGAACAATTTAAATTTAATACTATATGTTTCAATACTATATATTGAAATACTTCGAAACAACATATATCTTCAAAGTCATTGGAACTTCAATTCATATATCAGGCACTAGTACTAACACCTTTAGAATATGCATTTTATAATTTTTCAATTGAGAATCATAACTACTCATTAATTCAAATCGAAAGGATATATTTTGAGCAAAGAATAATTTTTGGGAATAATTTTATGAATGATTTGAGTGATTCACCTTTTGATTTTATCCAGATTTGGTGCTGCGAGGGTTTATTGTGGCTCACACCTATTCTCACTCGACCAAATAAACCCAGCTTCTTAACGAAGCCGATTAGTTTATACGGTGAGTGGTCTTTCAGGTCAGTTGGTAAGATTACGACTTTGCCGAACTCTCATAACATGATTCAATCCCAGCGGGGCAGGCACAAAGTATGTGCTCTGCTGTTTCATTATTTTCCAAAGAGAGGTAACACACTGTCTTCCGACACTCCAAGTTCAAACGATAGTGTCCTGTAATAATGCCTGTTAGAAATTCTATGTAGTCCAACAACTGTTTGGTATCAAGCTCCGAAGGGTGAATAAACACCTTAGAGTGAGCCAATCCTGAAAGATTCTGCCAGAAGTCCATAAATCTTCTTGCCATCCAGGTGTTCAATCTTTGTTTGGCAAAACCTAAAGCGATCACAATGACAGGTTCTGGTCCGAGGAAGCTGCTTGCAGCACCCTCCTTTGCAATGAAGTCAGCAGTTTCATTGCCTTCCAGGCCAGTATGGGCAGGAATCCAAACCAGAGACAATCTGTTAAGTCTTCCTATCGAGGAAAGTCGTTTTTAGCAATTTGCTACCAATTAAGACGTTGCTCAGTAGGAGCCAAGAGCTACCAACGCCGCTTGACTATCCGAGAATATTTTTATTGACTTGTGCATGAGAATGGATTTTTACAATTCCCGCACACAATTTAGTAGCGTAAATTTCCGCTTGAAAGACAGTCCTGTGAACCAACAACTATCTGTTCTTGATATTTCCTTCTCCCGGAGAAGAACAGTACTTTATAAGGCAGTTCGTAGTTGACAGTTGGAGGCATAAAGTGAGAGATCATTTGCATACTGCTGTGACTTCCAGTGCCAACCAATAGTCTGTTGCATTGAATTGCTTTGTGCAATTGGTAATGTGCACAAGCCTATATGCAGTCTATCTAGCCTATCTCTCCAGAAAAATGTGGAGAGGAGGTGAATCTAGAAGGATCTTCATAGCCGCTGACGGTCTGGAACTAATGGCACTATTAATGGCCAGACAAACCTGTCTCTGTAAGCCAGACAGCTTCGCCTGGGCCGTTTTCTGTAAAGCCTTCGGCCACCAGGCAATTGCACCATAAGTGATCATTGGTCTCAGAATCATCACATAAATCCAATGGATTTGTTTAGGGGCAGTCTGGCTTTGTGCAAGACTTTTTCCAAGTGAGCGTTCCAGCTGAGTTTTTCATCAAGGACAATGCCAAGATATTTCACCTTCGTTCCAAATGGAACGACTTCACCATTGAGGGAAAGTGGCAATAAGGAAATAGGCAATAAGGCAAGTGTCTTATGTCGAAAGTTCGGATGTCTACCAGTGAGGATAACAGTGTTCCATGTATAAGAAATGTATACCCCTTTCTTATACTATACTGTGTAGCAATCCTGTGAATAAAATCTGATTCTGTGTAGCAATCCTGTAAATAAAATCTGATTCAGTTCCATAAAAAATGCTTGGAATACAAACCGAGTAGAGAAAATTGTTCTTTGTATAATTCAGTGTTCATATAAAGTATTTGTTCCGAAAGTGATTTTTTTGGGTTATTCAATGTTCATATGGAAGTAGCTGTTTCGAGAGGGATTTTCTTCCTGTTTGCATGATCTACACAATCTTTGTATGTAATTAATTTTTTGATTGATTGGTTCCTTAGGAACTCTGTTCGAATGTCTCCTTAAGGAAGTCCGTTGTTGATAAATCTGGAGATCTCACAGAAAATGTTATTAATTCTCACTTTTCAACCTATATCCCTTTGTATATTTCATTTGATAATTGACTTACAGGTGCAACGCAGCCCAAGATGGCCGCAGCTACAAAATGGCGGATTACATATTATCTTGTAATACTGAGGGACTGAATGAAATGAACTGAATGAGAAGAATTGAGTAACAAAATTAGAAACTTGAAAATGAAATAAGAAAAGAAAATGTTAAACGGTTTCATTGAAAAAAAAGAAGATAATAATGATGTAATGTACTGAAAACAAAAAATAATCTGGAACATCCTAAGCAGCAGTCATCACATCACTTCAGCAATCTACGTTAATGATCAGATGAAAAAATAATAAAATCGTTAGGCGTAGTATTTACATATTTACTCAGATTAGTAACTTTTTGGTACGTCCTTGAGCTCCCTCAGCTATTTGGTTTTCATATCCTCATTTGTCTAGAAACGCTATCCCACCTTGGGTCTCTTCAATTTTCGGATTAGGAAAAGTCGCAGGAAGCTAAATCTGATGAATACGATGGCTGAGGCATGGTGATCGTGTTATTTTTGGTAAAACAATCACGAACAAGCAATGACTAGTGAGCAGGTGCATTATCAAGCCATGAAGTGTTTTCCACAATACCAGACGTTTTCTTCGTATTGCCACGGTAATCGAAGAAAACAGTGAGGAATATCTTGACATTTGATAGAACTTGGCGTGATATTTTTGTTCTTGTCTCTCCTGGGCTTTGGACTTTGGTCTCGATGTCATAACCATATACCTACGATTCTTTTTATCATAACAATTTTTTTCACTTTCCCGACATTTTTATCGGTTGTTGATGTACCGAGGCGTCCAGGGCGTACGTTATTCATAATTTCTTGACCTTATGTGAAAAGCCTGTTACACTAGTACACTTTTTTCTGACTCAGAGGACAATTACCGTA